CAGCCCGAAACCCCAAAAATGCCCCGAAATCGCACAAATCCGCCCCAGAATGACCATTTTCCGGGAGCTCTTCCTCCAGGCCTGCTCCTGCTGCTCGTCCCACCAGCCCCTCCTGCCCAGGTAGAGGCGCAGGCGGGAGATGGGATGGTCCTGCTTGTCCCAGTAATTCACCTCGTCCACCGAGCGGTACGCCGAGCTGTCATCGCTCGTGCTGTGGTGGCCGATGCTGGGGGAAAACGGGGGAAAAAATCAGTGAGAAAGGGGGGAAAAAAAATCAGTGAGAAATGGGGAAAAATCAGTGAGAAATGGGGAAAAAAAATCAGTGAGAAATGGGGAAAAATAATCAGTGAGAAATGGGGAAAAAAAATCAGTGAGAAATGGGGAAAAATAATCAGTGAGAAATGGGGAAAAATCTGTGAGAAATGGGGGGAAAAATCAGTGAGAAATGGGGAAAAATCAGTGAGAAATGGGGAAAAAAAATCTGTGAGAAATGGGGAAAAAAAATCTGTGAGAAATGGGGAAAAATCAGTGAGAAATGGGGAAAAAACATCAGTGAGAAATGGGGAAAAAAATCCACGAAAAACAGGCAAAAAATCGGTGAGAAATGGGGGAAAATACAGGAAAAACAGGGAAAAAGATGTCAGAAAGGGGGGAGATGGGAAATGGGGAAATACAGGGGAAAGTCCGTGGGGAGCGGGGGGAAATCTGTGGGGAATGGGGGCAGAAAACCACGGGAAAAGGGAATTTTGGGGGGATCCTGAAAAACCCAATGGAAAAAGGGGATTTCTGGGGGAATCCTGGGATTTTTGGGGAGAATCCTTTAGGAAAAGGGGATTTTTGGGGGGAATCCCGTATGGAAAAGGGGATTTGGGAGGAATCCTGGGATTTTTTGGGGAATCCTTTTAGGAAAAGGGGATTTTTGGGGGGGGAGATCCTTTAGGAAAAGGGGATTTTTTGGGGGAGGGAGATCCCGTATGGAAAAGGGGATTTTTTGGGGGGAATCCTTGGATTTTTGGGGGGAATCCCTTAGGAAAAGGGGATTTTTTTGGGGAGGGGGATCCCGTATGGAAAAGGGGATTTTTTTGGGGAATCCTTTAGGAAAAAGGGATTTTTTTGGGGGAGGGGGATCCCGTATGGAAAAGGGGATTTTTGGGGGGAATCCTTGAATTTTTTGGGGGAATCCTTTAGGAAAAAAGGGATTTTTTGGGGGAGGGGGATCCCGTATGGAAAAGGGGATTTTTGGGGGGTCCCGCGGAGGCCACGGGCAGCAGGTTTTGGGGTCCCCACCGGTAGGTCATGGCCTCGATGAGGAAGGGCTGGTTCTCGGCCACGGCGCGGCGCCGAGCCTCCCGCGTGGCGTTGAACACGGCAAAAACATCGTTGCCATCCACGCGGATGGAGAGCAGCCCGTAGCCCGGGCCCCGCGCCGCTGGGGGGCGAAAAACAAACAAAAAACGGGGAAAAAAGAGAAAAAAAAAATAACGGAGGACAGAGAAATAAACGGGGAAAAAAGAGAAAAAAAATAACGGAGGACAGAGAAATAAACGGGGAAAAAAGAGAAAAAAA